GAACCAGAAACCTCTGCAGTGACTCCGTCTTCAGCAGACACACAAGAGAGGTATTGACAAGCACAAGGAAGCAGTCAGACAACACATAAGCGAATGGGAAACGCCCTCAGCGATCCATATACATTCCGCCGTGCCGTTGCGTCGCTGCACTACAAGGACCATCCGCTTTCTGGCGGCAGCGGTGACGTGGCGCTGCTGTGGCGCACACTCTTCTGCACGGAACTCACTGCGGAGGACCACGCCGCCTTCTGGACTGCAGGAGATGTGCGGCGGCTGCGCATTTACCACCCGGACCGCCTAGCCGCTGTGCTTCTTGCGTCCATGCAGCAGCTCGACGCACTGCTGCTGCTGAGCAGCGCGGAAGCCAACGAGGAGGAGATGGTGGACGACGACGGCGGAGGCAGCGGCGATATCAGAGGCCTTGGGGTGCCAAATACCGCTGTTGTTGAGATGGGCGGGCAGGTCGATTACATGCAGCGGCGCTCGCACTCAGCAAAGCGGCACAAGAATGGAAGCAGCAGAATGCCTATTGATTTCACTGCCGCAACGAATGCGCTGCGACTGATTTACGGGGCGCTGCCGTACTGCCTGGAAGACATTGACGAGCTCAAATCTGTGTTGCACGAAGATGAAGAGGAGGAGGCGAACGACGAGCACAATATTGTCATCACCTCTCAGCATACGCGGAACCTGCTCGGAGTGGCAGACCGCAAAGAAAGTCCATTCGCCGCTGACTTTGCGTATCACTTCTTTGTACGAGGCGATATGTGCACAGGGTCCGCCGCTGGTGGGGATGCTGCTTGTGACAGTGAGCTGGTGGATGGCGCAGGCTCTTTCACTCCATCGCTGCCGCCTCTAGGCACACGGCTCGTTGAGCTGCTTGTCAGGTTATGTTTTGTGCCGGGGTTCACAATCGCGATGTGTCAACATACATCGAATGAGAAGCAACAGGACCAACCTCCACATCAGGTTTCATCCACGCAGGATATTGCTATGGACATGCAGTTGCTCTCCGTCCTCGAATACGTGCCACCTGTCCTCATCCCTGAAGCATCATATGCTAGCCGCGGTGACTCAATAAACAACAGCATCATCTCGGGGAGGGCCTCCTTCTATGCCACGGCTGTGACGGCACCGAATGAGGAACGGCGCGCGGTGGTTCTTCGCACCCTCCTCATGGCGCTTTCTGCCCCCATGTACACGCCCACTTCCCGTCCAAGCGCAGATGTAGGTGAAGCAGCAGATGACGGTGAAGCAAAAAGACGTGATCGTTCACGGCACCGAAGTGAGGAAACCGCGAGGGTGATGGCCAGCGGGCTGTTTGATGGGAGGCAGAAGCCGTTGTCGACGGTGCTGTGCGCCTCGCTACTGCACGTGGTGCGCTGCTACCCGAAGCGACCGCTGCCCTCGATCTCTTCTGTCACGGCGTGGGCGAAGGGCGGCTGCCTGACACCGGCGCACGTGGTTGTGCTTGGTCACGCCCTCTCCATCCTCGCCTTGGGCATTTACTGTGGACCGAATGTCAGTGGCTCTAGTAGCGGCAGTCATGCGGCGTCCGAAGCAAGTGGCGAGAGTGTGCCGAATGTCTTTTGGCAAGTCATGACTGCCGCGTTAGGGCCCTCCATGGACTCTACTGGTGCTGGTGTTGGTGCTGGTGCTACTCAAATCAGAAGTAGCAATGAAGGTGTGGCGGAGATGTCGGGCGTGTGTTTGCCATCGCAAGCCGTGTCAGGCAACGATGGCACATTGTCGAACTACGCGCAGAGTCTTGTCGAGGGTGTGTTGACACTTCTGGAAAATCCTCTGATGATGGCAGAGAGAAAATCGATAGGATCCTCCATAAAATGCGCCCCATTGGCGCTGCATCTACTTCTGTGGCTGCTGCAGCACAGTTCCGTGGCGTTGGACTTCGTCAGCAATCGCACGCAGTCGCTTCTACCCTTACTCTACAATCTGCTGGTGTCAAGTGCCGTCTCGACGAGTCGCTTTGGCGAAGGACAGCTAACCCTGCTCTGTCTGCTCATTCTTGCACGGCACCCGCAGTTTCTGCGGTGCCTAATGAAGCCGCTACCGTCCGTCACGTCGGGCGTGTCGGCAACGGAGGCAAATGAGTTCCTGCGCCAGCTTCGGACAGCAATGCCGATGCTGCCGCAGAAACTCATTATTGTTAGCAGTGGCGTTGACTCAGCAGAGCGGAAGGTTAGTCCAGACACACTCTGCATCCGCACGTATGGAAACCTTCTGGTGCTGGCGCTCTGCTATGTTGTCTCACCGAGTTCCCCACGGTGGTTCAAGCCGTTGTACCGCTCCGCCGTGGAGGTGCTCCACACACTGCAGGTATGTTTCCCCCGGGCTGCCCTTGCACCGTCTACACCCTTCGCGCGGAGTGTCCTCAGCGAGCACATCATGCTAGAGCTCACGAATAGCCTTAACCACCTGGGCTCGGTGCGAGTGCTACGGCACGACTATGAGGCGCAGCGGGCGTGCAGGCAGCTGATCCACGTGCTGCTGTCGATTGTCCGTGGGTCCATCGGCCCGCTGCGTGGCGCTGACGGCGTGTGGCACAGTGCCACATGGCGCGTGGAGCAGCTGGAGGGCGGCGAGGTGGTGCCTCTGCTGTGGAGCATCGCCACGCAGGAGGGCATCTTTGATTTATTGCGGCTGCTGCAGCTTGTGGAGGTCGAGCCCGACGCGGACGCTGTTGTTGACGGCAGTTGCGCGGCGTCGCTGCCAGCACTGCCGGATAATCTCGTGCCGTGTAACCCCCTCGCGTTCAAGTGGCAGAATGAGCGGCACGAGTCGCGCAGCGATTTTTCCGACACCAACAGCGTCGCGACGGCCGCAGCATCAACGATGCGGCCGCCACGAGTGCTGCACTCGCTTGCGTACAGCAGCGACTTCGCGGTACTGTGCCGCATTTCGGTGGCAGTGCGCACGCGACTCGACGGCGTTGGCGATGCGCCGCGGTCACCCACG